GAGGGACGGACGGACACGACACGGGGGGGGACCCCGGCATCACCCCGGCGTCACCCACCTCTCGGAAAGGGAAGCGACGCCGGCTAAAAAGACGTGTTTGTCGGCTTCGGCCAAGCGCTCCTGGAGGATCTGGCTGCCCTCCTGCACCTTGCGGAGCTGCTGGCTGGAGAGCTGTGGTTTTTGGTCGGTCTGCTCGATGTCGGTCAGCGTCCGTGCCGTGTCCGCCTCCAGCTCCTCCAGCATCGCCTTCTGCCGCTCCCGCAGCAGCCGGTGCAGCCGCTCGAAAGCCTCCCCAATAGTCACCCGCAGGCTCTTGGGTGAGGGCTTTGGGGGCGCGGGTGGGCGTCAGGACCCCCCAAACCTGCCCCGACCCCTCCACGAATCCGTAATTCCCAAAATAAACCCCTACAGCCCCGTTAACTCAAACAATTCCGGACGCTCCAAGCATCCAGGGATGGATATTTGACCCCGCATCCCTATAGAAAACCTAAAAACACCCCAAAAACCCCGTCACTGGCGGGGACGGAGAGAAAAACGGAACCTCGCTGAAAGCTGAACCCCTGAGCAAGGAGAAGGAGATGAAGATAAAATAAAAATTAATTAAAAGGATAAACAAAAGCAGCCCCGAAGGAAATAAAAGAGGAACGAGCAGCCTGACAGGCGGCTTCGCCAACCCGCCGGCAGGTTTTGGGGTACCGGGGAAGGAAAAAATGGGGCAGATCCACGAAACTGTGGGGTTTGGGGTCTTCGGAGGTCCCAAAAATCAGGTGGGCGAGGCTCGGATCAGGTGGGAGGCTCGGGGCTGGGGGTGCTGCCGGGGGGCACAGCTGCGTCCCCGCTCGTACCTTGGTCTCGGCCAGCTGCCGTCTGAGGAGGTGCAGGGCTTCGGTGTGGCCGCGCTCGCTCTCCTGCAGCCCCTGGAGCTGCTCCTTCAGCTCCCGCTGCGAGACGGGGAGGGGAAAAAAAAAACCACAAACCCCAACCCATAAAATAGGGGATTTGGGGGAAAAAAGGGATCCCA